GCCAGCTTCCTTATTTGAGGCTGGTATTCTGTTTAACTTCTCTAGTATAATTGCTTTGAGAGATCTGGTACAGCACTCCCTTCTATTCTGTAAGTCCCTTTCCTCTTTGTCTTTTGCTCGACTTTCTTCTGGACACTGCCCCAAAGTTTCTGTTGTGAAGAGTTTTTTCTTCTGTCCTCCTTCAGTTCCTGTAGATCTACATTCGAGATGCCACTTTTTGAGATTTGAAGGGGCATAGGGTTTTGTTTGCTCTTCTTTTCTTGAGCTGTTGTGGTGACTGCAGATGCTTCATCAGTTTCCTTTCTATTTGGTTCCTCCAAACTTCTACTGCCTGGTATATTGCCAATCATCAAGTCACACCTGGGTGTCTTCATACACATGGCCTCAAGGTCTCCCACGTAGTATGGAGTGTTCACCTTTATTCTAGCTATGGAAAACTTTCTCAATGTTCCATCAATCAGCACACACAGATATACCTTGCCCATCATCTGGTCATTAGATACAAGACTGGTTTTCACTACTGCACTACAGCACCCAGTGTCTCATAGAACCTTCACTTTCTTGTCCCTGATATAGCTCTCACATTCTCTAATTTTCTGATTTGTTGGCACCTCTCAGTGTTGGTCACACGCTACAATCACCACTGGCACTGTTGGCCCATTTGCTCACTTAAGCTGACCATCAGTCATGCACTGTTTAATCATGGAGATAGCAATTCCTTCTTGAGTTGGATCTGACGTGTTGTCTCTATTCTGTTTCTTCTGGCAGCAGCATCTATAGTGATAGTCACTCTTTTCTTGTTTTTTGCCAGCACCATCTTTGTAGGTAGCTCCAGCTGTTTTATGTTGCTTGTTGGTACCAGACTTGCACTCATTTGCAATGTACTTAATTATATAAAAAGCATAGCATATCTCCTCCCTTTTGTCTGTTAAGTTCTTGTCACTTTTGGTGGTATCCTGTTTCTGGTCAGCCACCACTGGTTTTGATTTTAACTGGTTATACTTGGATTTGCCAGTTATACTTCCTCCATGGGCTTCCATATGCTATTCTGCCAAATTGATCATCTCGTCCACAACTTTTGGTGCTCTCTCCTTTAGAAGCAGTGATATGTCAGTGGAGCACATGATAATTAACTCTTCATGTATTAGTAGATCTTTCAGTCCTTCAAAACTATTTTCACACTTAGCCATGTCCGTCCACCTTGTGAAGTATATATCACTGTAGACATGCCACAAACTGAAATACAATTTCTCCAGTGTCAGGTTTGACTTCTATGAAATTCCGACGAAACACCTTCTTCGGTAAGTTTATGGCATTTCAGCAACACCACTTTTAACTTGTCATAGTCCATGGCATCTATTGACATCATGCTTGCATACACTTATAGGTCTTTTCCTGTGAGAAGGAGGTTGAGACAGACTGCCCAGTCGCCTTTGTCCCCGTTCTGACTTGGGGCGAATCTTTCATGAAAGCATCCGTGTGATCTTTCTGTTCTCAATTTGTGCTTTTATTCCCTCTCTCTCTATTTCCTTTTCTTCTTCTCTTCTCTGTTGACGCTCCTCTCTCTCTAATTCTTGTTCAACAAACTATCGTAGATCACTGTCATTGAGCCCAAGTCGCTCACCTCTCTCTACCCTCTTATCAAAGTCAGTGGACATGGTTATATAACGTGACTGTAATCTTAATAATATTTTCGCCACCACTACAGTTGTGGGTATATAGGCCTATTTTTGCTATCGTTCACGTCTTCTTTTACCGCCATTTACCACTGCATAATCCTGGCTAGCTCGCCAATGTCAATTTTTTCCGTATGTATGGATGGACCGGATTCTTTACGGTAGGTGTCTGTGACTTGTTGGTGATAAATTTCAACAATAAACTAACAGCATACAATCCACTTGTTTTAAAATAATATATCCAAAACAAGTCAAACGTATATACAAATGTTTCTTACACAGTTGTACCCAGAGCTTTAAATAATCGTCTCTTTTTGTCAAGACTCCACAGGCTAGTCAGTTACTTTATAACTCAATTGATAAGACGAATTATTCTTCTCTTCTCTATTACCACAAGTCAATCAGTGATAAGTTCACTTACGTTAACCTGTTGGTTACCACAATTGTATCCAGAGCTTTAAGTAATTTTATTTTACTTCAGAAGTCCACACACAGGCTGGTTCAGTTACTTCAGATCATAATTGGCAAGATAAATTCTTCTTCTCTACTCTGTTATCAGAGTACAATCTGCGATTATTCACTTTAAAGTCGCCACTATACACTTTTTTATGGCTAAACTTACAAACACAGCCTAGATCTATTTGACCATATCTTTCACTAAATTTGTCTTAAACTAAATAATACTGTCGTAGTAAACTTAAAATGGACAGTCGTGTATATCTAACACTTCTTATAACTACCTTTTTTTCTTCAAAATTCAGTCTAACTTTCAGATACTATGCAGACATTAAAAAAGTGCGAGTTATTTACTTAGTTAACACTATAAATTTAGTCGTCTTAAATTTTTATAACCTTTTTCATGTCCATTTAGTTTGTTTGTTTCGAATTTCACGCAAAACTACACGAGGGCTATCTGCACTAGCCGTCCCTAATTTAGCAGTGTAAGACTAGAGGGAAGGCAGCTAGTCATCACCACCCACCGCCAATTCTTGAGCTATTCTTTTACCAACGAATAGTGGGATTGACCGTCTCATTATAACGCCCCCACGGCTGAAAGGACGAGCATGTTTGGTGTGACGAGGATTGCGAGTTGAACGCCCTAGCCACCTGGCCTGTCCGATCAGTAGGAAGTAAAAACTGTAAACTTCATTGCAGCATTATTGACAATCTCCCATTTGTTTTATGAAATAAATACAACACAAAAGTACAAAAAATAATTTTAAAGCCATATTAATCCTTAAACTTAAGGATCAAATTCCTATGACAGAAAAGAACTATTACTATTAGTACTGTTGAATAATTTTTCTACATCTTGGAAACTTCATACTATTTTGATAGGTCTAAGATTTATTATGTTTTACTTTGTGATGTGTGTTTTAACATTATTAATCTTTGAATAAGTAACTCACGACTGATCGTACTTTGCTATTGATGAAAATACCATTACTGTCGCTGCATAAGTTATATATTTAAGACAATACCCATAGTAAGGTTTGTCGCTAAGCATAAAATAACACAATGGGGGTATCTGTGAGCTGCTTATTATGGGTATAAAAACCCAATTTGTACATTATAAGTCCTCAACTTTATTTCTGAGCCACTGAAAGGCTTTTAGTACCGAGACCAACACTAAATACAGCACCAAAAGACGGCTAAGCTTAAGAAATGGCTAGAACTTAGCATCAACACATTTTGTATTTGACAGCTTAGCCCAAAGAATGGCTAGAGCTTACAAAGAACACATTTTGTGTTTAACTGCTAAGCCTGAGGAATGTATAGAACTTGGCAATAATATATTTTTTCTTGAGACAAATGTTTGTAAGACTAATTTTTGTCTTTTATTTAGTTAGTTTGTTTGTTTATAATTAAGCACAAAGCCACATAATGGGTTATCTGTGCTCTGCCCACCACGGGTATCAAAACCCGAATTCTAGAGTTGTAAGTCCGCAGACATACCGCTGTGCCTCGGGGGGGGAGCTTTTATTTAATATCATAATGTTTTCATCTTGGGTTGGCATTTATACATAGGGCACAAAAAATATTTGATTTAACATTTCATGTGTATTTTCATAATAACGGGAAAGTTATGTGCTTATTTCTATTCAAAATAAAGCGTTTAAACAGTTAATCATTACATCATTTATTGAAGTTTTGTTCTGTTTGTTTGTATGTTTTGAATTTTGTGCAAAGCTACACGAGGGCTATCTGCACTAGCAGTCCCCAATTTAGCAGTGTAAGACTAGACGGAAGGCAGCTAGTCATCACCACCCACCGCCAACTCTTGGACTACTCTTTTACCAACGAATAGTGGGATTGACCGTCACATTATAACATCCCCACGGCTGAAAGGGTGAGCATGTTTGGTGGGACGGGGATTTGAACCCGCGACCCTCAGATTGCGAGTCGAGCGCCCTAACCACCTGGTAAGTTCTTTTCATCTACCTGGTAACTTATAATATTCTTTCCATTTATATACATGTACAGTAATTGGGAATTATGAAGAGAACAGATTTCTTCCTCCACATTATTCTATCAATGACAAGACTTTTTTACACTTGTTTGTACAAAAGCTGTGCTCACAAAAATGTTAACAATGGCCCTTTCTTTCTAATTATTAGGTAGGCATGATATTGATGTCTTACTTAAATGTCCCGTGTGTGTTTGTTACTTCAGCTTGTGTCACCACTTAGTATGATGTGTATATGGAATTATAAGTATGTGTTTTTTCAAGTTAACTGTTTATGAATATTCTTCTTATAAATTAAAAACTATCTTCTTTAAAATTACACAAATATTGAGAAATGCTAGTGATTAAGTAAGAAACCACCCTTCTGGGAAGTATTAGAAAATTCACAGTTTTTAAGTTTAAATTTGATGTCAAGTATTCAGAAGAGAAAAATAAAATACAGCGTGGTAAAGTTAACATTTTAGGCCACTAGGGGCACCATAAACAAAACAAAAAAAAAAACCCTGTTAAATAGCTAAGTCTTTTATTTTTTGCACCAACAAACATGGAATTTGAAACAAAGTTAAATTTTATAAATACTGTATTAGGACTGTGGAAGTGAGGCTTCAATTTATTCCTTACATCATGGGATGCAGTGAATACAATAAAAACCTGCATTGTAACAAACAAGAACAATGGAAGCCTCTAGCGGTGTAATTTTTGTTACTAGGATTAAACTAGATCTCTCACAGAGATACTCAAGATGTTAAGAAATAGTTCTGGATTATTGTATTAAGAAATGTAGAAAAATCTTTGTTAATTTCCTAAGCAGGATTTAATAAGTGTGTGTATAAACCTTGTCACTATTTCAGACTGCCTGTAATTTCATGACTGTGGTAATTTATTTGATGACAGTTACAGTGACTAAAATACAATACTAAAAATACAAAACTGGCTAGGACTGAGAATAACCTAGTTAATCAAGAGGAAAGTCATCCATCAATATGGTTTATTTTTCTTATTTTCAGACAGTATTTTCCAAAAATAGTTAACATGTTAATTCTAACTAAATGTACACATTCAACTGTTGCTATAATAAACCAAATTTGCTACACTACAGTCTTATGCTTTACAATAAATGTTTTATTCAAGTATTCGTTTGGCTTAAATTTTGATAAAGATACATATTATATAATATCTAAATATTGTTGTGATTTTATGTTTGAATATAAGAAACTTACAAAAGTTAATAATTTTACATATAGTGCTTTGAAACTATTAAAGTCCGAAATACAACATCAGTTGTAACAACTGGTACAGTGCTGTGTAACTATTAAAGTCTGAAATACCACATTAGTTGTAACAACTGGTGCAATGCTGTGTAAGTATTAAAGTGTGAAATACCACATTAGTTGTAACAACTGGTGCAATGCTGTGTAATTATTAGTTAGAAATACAACATCAGTTGTAACAACTGGTACAGTGCTGTGTAAGTATTAAAGTGTGAAATACCACATTAGTTGTAACAACTGGTACAGTGCTGTGTAACTATTAAAATCTGAAATACCACATCAGTTGTAACAAGTGGTACAGTATTGTGTAACTATTAAAGTCCGAAATACCACATTAGTTGTAACAACTGGTACAGTGTTGTGTAACTATTAAAGCCCGAAATACCACATCAGTTGTAACAGCTGGTACAGTATTGTGTAACTATTAAAGTCCGAAATACCACATCAGTTGTAACAACTGGCACAGTATTGTGTAACTATTAAAATCCGAAATACCACATCAGTTGTAACAACTGGTGCAATGCTGTGTAACTATTAAGTCCGAAATACCACATCAGTTGTAACAACTGGCACAGTATTGTGTAACTATTAAAGTCCGAAATACCACATTAGTTGTAACAACTGGTACAGTATTGTGTAACTATTAAAGTCCGAAATACCACATCAGTTGTAACAACTGGTACAATATTGTGTAACTATTAAAGTCCAAAATACCACATCAGTTGTAACAACTGGTACAGTATTGTGTAACTATTAAAGTCTGAAATACCACATCAGTTGTAACAACTGGTACAGTATTGTGTAACTACTAATGTGTGAAACAGGGCCTGGGAGAGGGAGGTGCACAGGGTGTGAATCACTGGGGCACGGAATATTTTCCACACATATGATAACAAAATGTCCTTCTCTCAAACAAAAAGTAATATTTATATGCTGATGCTGCATAATAGTGAACATTCCCACTTTAAGAGGTTGCATCTTTCAAGGGCAAAAATAACATACATGATTGAGAGGATGAGGGGCCCAGAATCAGGGGAAGCACCAGAGCCCAGGATTTCTCTCCCAGGCACTAGTGTGAAATACCAAATCAGTTGTAACAACTGGTACAGTGCTGTGTTAGTATTAAAGTGTGAAATACCACATTAGTTGTAACAACTGGTACAGTGCTGTGTAACTATTAAAGTTAAAATACCACATTAGTTGTAACAACTGGTACAGTGCTGTGTTAGTATTAAAGTGTGAAATACCACATTAGTTGTAACAACTGGTACAGTGCTGTGTAAGTATTAAAGTGTGAAATACCACATTAGTTGTAACAACTGGTACAGTGCTGTGTAAGTATTAAAGTGTGAAATACCACATTAGTTGTAACAACTGGTACAGTGCTGTGTAAGTATTAAAGTGTGAAATACCACATCAGCTATAAGAACTGATATACTTGAGAGGAAACAAAAAGACAAAGAGCTAATGCTGAAATCTAAACTATAAATGTTTAACAAAGTCAGTGAAACTAAAGACAAATGTTGAACTCCAAAAAAAGGCATCGTCTTTAAAACTGTGATTTTAATATGTATAATTAGTTACCTATGCTTCAAACCAGTAAATATATTATATCTTTTAATGCAGTGTAAATGTACTAAGTAAGAGAATTATTCTGACATTATAGAGAAGAGAATTAGTGCAATGGAGAGTTGACATTTTTATATTACAAAGATGACAGTGCTAGCAATCCCTTCTAATGTTATGCTGTAATATTTGACATCTAATCTTTCTCTAGCAATCTCTTCTAATGTCATGTTTTAGTATTTGACATCTGAGCTTCTCTACCAATCCATTTCTAATGTCACATTTGAATAGTTGACATCTTCTCTAGCAATCTTTTCTAATGTCATGTTTTAATATTTGACATCTGAGCTTCTCTACCAATCCATTTCTAATATCACGTTTGAATAGTTGACATCTTCTCTAGCAATCTCTTCTAATGTCATGTTTTAGTATTTGACATCTGAGTTTTTCTAGCAATCCATTCTAACATCATGTTTTAGTATTTGATATTAGATCTTTAGCAATCCTTTCTAGTATCATGTTTTAATATTACACCTGATCTTATTTGGGCTAAATAACTGTGTAGCTTGAACCTTTTCATCCACATATATAAACCAAATTGAAACTACCACTTAAAAACACAGGAAAAGTTCAAGTCTAGAGAAAGTGTTTACAGTGATCCAACATGTTCACCTAAATAAACAGTGAAGTTCAAGTTTCCCTTTATACAAGAATCACAAAGATTTTGACCTTCATGTGAACTACAAGAGATGACCATTTGGTAAGCCTGTCTGAAGCCGTTTTACATGATTGTAGATCTTCAGAGCGGGACCAAGACGAATAGAGAGACCTGTTAAGACATCACTTCTTTTCATGAGCAACAGGGATTTGCCATCAATTTCCTGTAAGAAGAAAATGTTATTCTTCTCAGTTTCTGTACTTCTACACAAGTGGGAATTATGAGTGATAACACATAATTCCTAGTCATAATAGCCAGTTATCTGAATAATAGAATCGTAATTCCATCAGATCTGAGGCTTATAAGCAAGAAACAAGCATGACTGATAACAAGATGTAGATGTTAAACTTCAGTAAGAGATAATAATATAAACATGTTATACTACAATAAAGGATAACAATATTTATATGTTAGACTTCAATAATGGATAACAATATTTAGATGTTAGGCTCCAATAAAGGATAACAATGCTTATATGTTAGACTTCAATAATGGATAACAATATTGAGATGTTAGGCTCCAATAAAGGATAACAATGTTTATATGTGAGATTTCAATGAGGGAAAACAATATTTAAATGTTAGACTCCAATAAGGGATAACAGTATTTAGATGTTAGACTTCAATAATGGATAACAATATTTAGGTGTTAGATTCTATTAAGGGATAACAATATTTAGATGTTAGACTCCAATAAGAGATAATAATATTTAGATGTTAGACTTGAATAACGGATAACAATATTTAGATGTTAGACTTTAATAAAGAGATAACAATATTTAGATGTTAGACTTTAATAAAGAGATAACAATATTTAGATGTTAGACTTTAATAAAGAGATAACAATATTTAGATGTTAGACTTTAATAAAGAGATAACAATATTTAGATGTTAAACTCCAATAACAGATAACAATATTTAGTTGTTAGACTCCAATATGAGATAACAATATTTAGTTGTTAAACTCCAATAACAGATAACAATATTTGGATGTTAGACTTTAATAAAGAGATAATAATATTTAGTTGTTAGACTCCAATATGAGATAACAATATTTAGTTGTTATGCTCCAATAAGTGATATCTTATAAAGAATGTATACAGTTTTAGAAGAATCTACCAAGATAAACTATAAACAGTCTTAAAAGTACTATATTCAATAAGAAATACATTTTTTTCCCACTTAAGTGAACTATAGTTTTATCTTTTATTCATATATATATATAACTATGACTGTTATCTTGAATTGTTTACTTCATTTTTTGCAGCATGTTTAAGATGTGCTAACACTCATCACGTACAGTTAAGGTGAAAGTGTTAAAAAAGATGGAGTAACCACAATCAATTAATCAATCTTACTCACTATGATTCATACTAATCAATGGATTATTTCTACTGAAAGCTATAATTTTCATCCACTCTCATAATACTTTTTCCTCATTCACTGCTACCCTCTATATGTGCAATTTTTGCTTGCCACTAGCCATGATACTCCCACCTACCCCACACCTGAATCAAAGACTTAAGTGCTGTTAGTCTAGAAAAAGAAATTCTGAATACTGAAATACTAATGCATAGGAATCAGAGGCAAGAGGGGGGAAGAGGCATACTGATCCCAGAATGTAATTGTGGGAAAATAAGGTAGCATGCAGGAGGGAAAGGGAGAAATCTTAAGACACAGGGGATACAGACAAAAGATAACATACTTGGGATACCATATTGAGGAAGGTGGAAGAAAGTCTGGGAGAATCCATAGGTGTGACCTGGGATATGCAACAAGAGGGTGTCATACTCCTGTTGGTGGAGGGTTGTTGCATGTTACAGCTCAGCTGTACCACATGTAAAAATGTGGGTGTAGGTGGGAATATCAAGGCTAGTGGCAAGTGAAAATTGCATATGTAGAGGGCAGTAATGAATGAGAAAAGCTATTATGAGTGGAGGTAAAGTATTGTATTGGAAAGCTTATTAATGACGTTTCTATTTACAGAACTAGATCTATAGGTGAGTCATTATGTATGTATGTTGACAAAAACTCTTTGGCACAATGAAGTTTATTTGTTGTATTACAAACCTTAAACTGAATAAAAACAAGAGGAGCTGTATTATGTTAAAGATTTAAACAAACTTACATTTTTAAAATAATAAGCTTAACTTATCACACAACCTTTACGTAAGTCTATTCCTATTTTCAGCTAGAGCAGTTAATTAACTTACTTAATTAAGTTACTTAACTTGAACTGCATAACTCAGCAAGCCATGTGGTTCGGAACAAAGTCACCTCTCTTTTATTAAAATTGAAGGTTTCAAGTTACATATACATACATACATAACTAAAAAACCTGATTTGAACATTCACACCATATATATATATATTATCACATGCAGAATTCAGATGTACTCTAAGCAACCAGAGTAGCAAAGCATAAGTTGTAACCACTGGTGAAAAGTACCCAATAAGGTATGAATGACATAAGTTAAAATAGTTAAAACCATGCTAGTGCAATAGGTCCATTTCAGAAGTTTTAACAGCACAGATGGCTAAAAATGTACCTGTTCTTTGAAAGCAGAAGCTTGTTCAGGAAATCCAACGTAAGAGAAAAATTCTTCAACGTCATCAATGGTCCAGTCTTTAGCATCAGGAACAATTTCTGGATACTGGCTGAGTGTTCTGTAAGGCATTCAATGTAAAGTCTTTTTAGAAACCACATATCTTGGCTACTTGGAAACTTCTATGTCTTAGTTACTAAGAAACCTCTACCTCTTTGTTACTTAGAGCCCACTATATCTTTGTTACTTAGAAATCTCTACATCTTTATTCCTTACAAACCTCTTCACCTTTGTTACTTAGAAACCTTGTCTTTGTTACTCAGAAACCTCTACATTTTTGTTACTTAGAAACTTCTACCTCTTTGTTTCTTAAAAACCTCTTTATCTTTGTTACTTAGAAACCTCTTTGTCTTAGTTACTAAGAAACCTCTACCTCTTTGTTACTTAGAGCCCTCTATATCTTTGTTACTTAGAAATCTCTACGTCATTATTACTTACAAACCTCTTCACCTTTGTTACTTAGAAACCTTGTCTTTGTTACTCAGAAACCTCTACATTTTTGTTACTTAGAAACTTGTACCTCTTTGTTTCTTAGAAACCTCTTTATCTTTATTACTTAGAAATCTCTTTGACTTTGTTACTTAGAAATCTCTTTGGCTTTGTTACTTAGAAACATCTTTGTTTTAGTTACTTAGAAACCTCTTCGTCTTTGATACTTAGAACCCTCCTTGTCTTAGTTACTTAGAAACTTCTGTCTTTGTTTGTTAGAAACCTCTTCACCTTTGTTACTTACAAACCTCTACATCTTAGTTACTTTTGAATTTCTGTCTTTGGTCCACTTATAAACAAAAGTTTTGCATAGTATAAATAATGTAAGTTTGGAAAGGCCTTGATAGTTAGCAGAAGTCTGTCCACTAAAATTTTTTCATTGGCTAACAAAAAACTTTCTGATGTAAGCTTTGTTCCATGTGCAAAAATGTTAAATTTATATAATTTCACACAAATAAATAATAATATCTAGAGTGAAAATTGCAAAAATACAGTTTTAGTTAATATATATACGTTTTTATACATATTCAGTTAATTAATTCTTTCCCCAAGAGTTGGGTCCTTATAAGAGTTGAACAACTAACTGTAAGATCATTTTATTATGTTAAGCAGAAAAACAATCAATTGTATAAGAATTAAGGTCAACTGAGACTAAAAGTTACCCCTCCTCCAAGTTAGACGGAAGACAATTTCAAATATCAGTTCCAAATTACAAAGAAGTCAATGACTGAAAGAAAAAAGTGGGAAATATTAATGATGCTATAGTAAATCTCTCTGTTCCAGTTGAACGCAGCACATTTCAAATAAGGCTTAGTGAATTAAATAACGTGAATGATGTTATACCTGATTCTATCTCGGTTGAAGGCAATACATTTGAAATAAGACCTAGTAATGATAATATAAAGTAACATTCAAATTTTGAAGTACTTTACTTAAAGTTATGTTTCAGAATTTGAAAATCTTTGTGATTAATTAATTATAAAATATTGTAAAGAGAAGTATGTCTAAAAATTGTCCTACGTTCTGTTCAATGACCCTTAGCACGTGAGTGTGATGTTTATCTGCATATACGGGAAAACTATGAAGCGTCGGAAGGTTTGCCATGAGAGTTGAGACCAACTGAGCCAAAAAGAACTTTAAAAGTATATTTACCTTTTTTAAACATATGGATGATGTTTATCTACAACTACATGGAGAACAAAAATGTTATGGAAAGCCCAACAAGGACTTGTCTTCTGTTGGAGGAATTGGAATCAACTAAAACTTTCAAAGTAGCCTTACCTTTTATTCAGTGATCCCAGCATGCAAGGATGTTGTTTATCTTCAGGTACGGGAGAACTACAAGGTGTTGGAAGTCCTACTGTGGGATCTAGTTCTGTTTGGGAAATTATGATCATAACTGAGAAAAAAAAGTACAAGTAATTTTTCATAAATAAATAAAATATGCATACATCCTTTAAGTCTTATGAACGAGTATGCCTCACATTTGAAATTTTCTTCTAAGAAAATATAAATCACTCCATTACATTTACTACCAGTAACAATAACTAATAAGTTTTGGTAGTAAAAATGATTAAAAACAACAGGAACATGGCACTTGTGTAAAGATATATATTAAAACTTATGTAAAGATATATATATTAAAACTTATATAACACGAAATGTAAACGTTATCATTTTCCTACACTGAAAATAGATTTCAGGTAGGTACTTACCTCTACCCACACAAAAGCTTTTCCCAATTTCATCTGCCCTCTAATGCATAAAATTTTTTTTTTTATTCTCGCTTGATTCACTAGCCTTTATACCCCCTCAGTACAGGCTGCTCATTTAGCATGCACAGTGCATAATACAACCCTCCACCAATAGGAGCATGACATACACTCCTGGAGCAGCTGGCTCCCTGTGTATTACATTTTGTGTACTTTACTTTCAAGATTAGACACACCAGAAAATAGAAAAATACTGAAGGTATCTATCAGAAATCTGTTTTCAGTGTAATAAAATGATAACTTTCAATATGATACATACTTAAGCTCACACAAAAGCTAGAATCCTATATTGAGGAGGTGGAGGGACCACTGTAGCATAGAAGTAAGAGACTCCCTATGGAAAGTGTCCACAGGGAATTGAACAGGTGTGGTCAGTAATTGAATGAAAGCACACATGAGGGGGACTGCACTACTTCTGGAACAGGTATGCCCTTTGCCCTTGAAGAGAGGTGTTGTGAAACAGGTAGCATCGAGGACCAAACCAAGGCCTCGGGAACCATTGGAGCAAGAATCTCCCCAACCCAAACTGGACAGACAAGGTTCCACATCACATCCTCAGTATTACAAGGTGGAGGAGAGTGCCGAAGAATCAATTGAGCATATACAATGTAACATGGTGAGGGAACTGTGAACAATAGATATACACTAACTTCAACCGCAAGTAAACAAAATGCCATACTGCAAACAACTGGAATTACAATTAGGAAGGAAGCAAACAGCAATCATCAGACAAACTTCCACATCAACTGTACAAGGCAAGAAGTATACCAAACTGAACACAGAATTATGGGGCTGTGTGTGAATCTCAACTCAACCGTAAGAACAGGAAAGTAGGACCAGGAAAAGAAAAAATTCACTCAACTATGAGAGCAGGAAATAAAAACCATGTGCACTCAGGATTATGAGTAAGATATGGAACATGTGCTCAACCAGAGGCACAGGGTATCATATGTCCTGCAACTGGCATTATGAGGTGGACAAAGTTCCCCAAGCTGAACCATAGGGGCAATGAAAATTCATCCAGATGGGGTGCATCTACCAGTTTCAATTGTAAGAACAGGGTGCTATCACCTGGAAATTGTTATTACAACAAGAATCTAGTAATGGCTGGTCCAGTTCCCTCCCACATCAGACCTCCTGGAACAAAAAATCAAGGTTTCCCAGCTTCATCCTCTTCTCAAGAGAGTGTAGAGAAAATTAATGTTACAATATGTATGATACACTCCCGAAGAAGACTCCATGGTCCACCACCCCGGCAGCTAGCAACTGGAAAATGGTATGAACTCTCAAACTCCACTCAAGGAAGGGAAAGTAAAAGGCAGTGGGGAGTCTGGAGGAAAGACCTTGGAGAAAGTGCAATGGTGACTGTAAAACCCTATTTTGAAAAGCATACTATTCCCGATTTATTCAATCAAGGGAGCGGCAAGGATGGGTAGAAATCTCCTTCTGCTTTACTCATTATAGTCCAAGTATGGAATAGAATTTTATATACAGATATATAGCACTAGTGGTCTTGCAAAACACCCCATCTCAACAGTGTGTTACAATCTTAAAGGTAGCAAGTGCAGGTTAAAGTAAGGCATACTTTACCAGGCAACACTCCCCACTGAGCGGGATCTGGATATGTAATGAAGACACAAGGAGAGTCACCACTGGAGGGAAATGATATCCACCAGAAAATAATACATCCAGATGAAGCAAGTAATGAGAGACAAATATATAAGAAGCAGTCCACAGTCTGGCCTGGACAATCACCTTCGAGGATGATGGAAATGAACCACAAGAGACAAGGTGACAGGTCGAAATAGATGAGAGGAGACATGATAAAGAAGGTGACATACAGAGAAAAGGGAAGAGTAAACTAACTGAATAAGCTGGTGAACCCAACCCATGATGGTGATGGGGGAAAGGTTATGAATCACCAACAGGCTCCAAGGAAGAAACAAACGGGAAAGGAACCACAGGAAACTGAAGGCAATCTGGAACCGACCAGAAACAAATATGGGAAAGGGAAGGGATGGAAAATGGTGCGAAGGCACAGACTCCCTTACAGGCAGTGGAGGGAGACCAAGGCCAAGCCAGTTAGACTGAGCCACCCAGAGAACTTGACATGGAGAGGTGTGGATGAAGGAAATCTGTTAAGGGAGGAGATGTATAAGCAGGAAGGCATAAAATGGAAGGCCCCTCCATACTAGAAAAAAGGTAGAACAACCCAAGTCCAGAGGCCATGGAACCAGAGACCAGAAAGACAGTAGGATGTCATCCAGAGAAGTGGCAAGTGCATTTATACAATGATTACCCAGATGAGAACATAACCACCAAACAACTGGAGGATGGAGGGACAACTCCATTGGAATGACCACATGCAGATGGTAGAAGCAATTCCACAAGTAGCTTCAAAACACGGGGAAGAAGGCAAGTTAACAGCCTGTGTACGTGAGCCAAGGAATGTTTGATAGTCATATCAATGAAATGCTTTCCTTCAAAGATCCATGGTGTGTTTTAAGTCAATCATACTATGTTGGAAGAAAAGATTCTTTACAGCTGTCTTCAATGTTTTAAAGATTACAGATGACCCACATCTCCTTTACATACAGGAATATGAGCATAACTGATCCCAAAAACAAATATAATATTTCTACCATTTGCATCTGTTTATTTCTATTTAATTGTTTACTCTTTCTTTTCATTTTGTTTTTTACATTGGAAGAAGGGGTCCCACACAAGTGATCAACTAAGTAATATTTTTTGTGCCTTTTTCAACTGTAAAAGTAAGTTCTAAAAGTGTTTACCAGGTGTATGTTAGATCTACATCTCTTTTTCACTGGGATTTGTAAGTTAACGTTGGTAAACATCATGATATTATTTAGGATGCTTTGGTAGAAGGAATTACTTTCAACAAGCATCTTATTGTACTAACTGAATTACCTGATCTTGTTGGGGTAACGAAGCTAGTGGTACTTGTTTCAAAATAAACACTTTCCTTTGGGTAATTCCCACTTGAAGTTGACACTTTTTCCATGCTTGATTCTTTTTCGTCATTACACTTGCTACAATACCACAATCCTGTTGAAATTTAAGAACATTACTGTAATTGTTACAAGAATTAACAATGATGCCAACAAGCACTTAAACTCATTTAACATAGATGAGACAGCATTGTTGAATAGCTCATACACAAAGGATTTTTAGTATTAAATGCTTTGAACAAAGCTGATATATAATTTATAGAGAGAATTAATCATGTATTCTCCTTACACCTTATATTATAAGAATAAGATAACACGGCTTTAACCAAGAAAAATGCAAAGATAATATTGATATACTAAACATCTGAGATATGCTTGAACTAGCTCTTAAAGAAGCATCTACCTTGTGTGTTTGAACTATCTCTTAAAGAAACATTTAACCTATATGTTTGTACTATCTCTTAAGGAAACATTTAACCTATATGTTTGAACTAGCTATTGAAACATCTACCCTATATGCTTCAACTCTCTGCTAAAGAAACATCTACCCTATATGTTTGAACTATCTATTAAAGAAACATCTGACCTATGTGTTTGAACTATCTATTAAAGAAACATCTGAACTATGTGTTTGAACTATCTATTAAAGAAACATCTGACCTATGTGTTTGAACTATCTATTAAAGAAACATCTGACCTATGTGTTTGAACTATCTATTAAAGAAACATCTGAACTATGTGTTTGAACTATCTATTAAAGAAACATCTGAACTATGTGTTTGAACTATCTATTAAAGAAACATCTAGCGTATGTTTGAGCTATCTATTAAGAAAACATCTATCCTATATCTATTAACTCTGTATAAAAAAAACATCTAACCTATATGTTTCAAATCTCAATTAAAAAAACATCTAAACCATATGTTTCAACTCACTATTAAAGAAACATCTACCCTATCTTTCAGCTCTCTAATAATGAAACGTCTAACCTATATCTCTCAACTATCTATTAAAGAAAAATCAATCATATATCTTTGAACTACCTATTGAGGAAACATCTAACTGATATGTTTCAAATCTCAACTAAAGAAACACCTACCCTATTTGTTTCAACTCTATATTAAAGAAACATCAAACCTATATTGTTCAACTGTATATTAAAGACACGTCTAACCTATATGTTTGAACTATCTATTAAAGAAACATATACCCTATATGTTTAAACTGTCTACTAAAAGAAACATCTATGCTATATGTTTCAACTCGCTATTAAAGACACATCTAACCTATATGTTTGAACTATCTATTTAAAAAAATCTACCTTATAGGTTTAAACTATCTACTGAAGAAACATCTACCTTATAGGTTTAAACTATCTACTGAAGAAACATCTACCCTATGTTCGATGATGAACCCACTTTGAGATTAATAATGCTTGGAGACGGCTTGAATGGGTAATGAACAAAAACTTTAATATAAGTTTAACATAACAGCAAATGTACAACGTTTCAATAAGGTTCTGTCATCATCAGGCACTTGTACTTGTCCCTGATGATGACAGAACCTTA